ACAGTGCTATTATAAACATTATTTATTATTGCATCAAAATTGACAAAATGACCTATTTTGCATCTTTATTTTCTGTTTTTTGTCTGTACATTTGACAGCTTTGCTGCCTTGTCTAATAAGCTGTTTATTGTATAGGTTTGCTGACATGGTAGTGAGTGGTCGGAGTAAAGCCGTATTGGCCACCGGATAAAAGTCTACGCGTTATTGCCAGAATCGGTCTTGAAAATAAAAACTATTGTTGTCCTGACCCCCCCCCCCCTTTCGATTTCTGGTCCCTCTTGAAATCAGAATTTCAACTAGATGAATCATAGTTCTAAACCGTCCCAAATGGTTTCGTTCGCCCTCTAAAATACCAAAATCTTTCGGGGCCCTTCAGCGGGTCCTGAACCCCACGCCAATTTTTTTTCTTTTTTTTTTTTTTTTTTGGGGGGGGGGGGGAAGACTTCACATCTGCGGACCCCCCCTTCAAATAATCCTGGATACCCCCTGTATTTGGTAGATATTAACCTTTTCGTATTAGGTTTAAAATACATCGTCCAAATAATGCGCAGGAAAAATCAAGATTCATAGAAGAAAATTGCCCCGTTGTGATCCCTTATGTTGAGGAATTACCAGAACAGAAACAATGGGTCTTAGAATATACATGTATATTTACAGTGTGTATTTAAACTTATACCTTCATTATAACACCCTTTCACTAAATGACAACTACATTGCACAAATTTTTCTTCGTGAACAAAATTTAAACAAAAAGTTAAAGCTAATATTACAACCAAGGTAAATCATGCTATTTATACTGCCCGGATAGGTGAAGTAATTTTTTTCTGTGGTTTCTCACGTGGTTCCCAAGCTTCCGAGAGAGTCTAATTGATAATCGTTCTGTATTTTAAAGAAGTGCTGAAATTTATTTAGAAATTATCTTAATTTCGTTGCCTTTGTTTCGCCTTTTCCAGTTATGACAAAGAATTTCATTTCATTTCCTCATCTTATTTAACGTATTCACCAGAAGTGTTCATCTCAACACTACGCGTGAACGTCACAAGTCAAACGAAGACGTCATTCACTTGTGACGTCATGAGAGAGGCTTATGACATCACGACGTTAGCTACTTTGTACATAACAACACATTTTTGGTACTTCCAGACAACAGGAGGATGTGAGGCACTAATGATGCTTGGTACAACAACAGTCCTTCTGTATGTTATCACAAACTACCTAAAATCAGGTAAGAATAGGGGTAAGTTTTCTTACAATAGTTTGCTTTCTATAGAGATACAAATTAGAATATATAACCGTCATTTTAATATTTTTGCCAATAGAACATTTGAAATCTTGCAAAATTTATATAAACGGTTTGTTTAGTTTTGGAAGTCAGATTTTAAAAAAATTCTTTTATGATCCTGAGTATAGTTAAACCTATTGAAATATTTGTGCCGTTGCTGTCGATTTCAGGAATATCCAAAGCTCAAAATTTATCCCTTCATAAATGGATTTATTTGTCAGCACACGCGAAGGGCGAAGAGGAAATTATGCTTTTCCAAGGTATTTATTATTCTGATGCATTAAACACATGCTAAAACGGGGGAGGGGAGGCATGTTTCAATAAGCGCTAAATAGCTTAAGTCCTATAACCTATATTTGTAAAAGCGTCATTATCTGTCAATTATCTCACCAGTTGCAGAAACTGGAGTGAAAGACACACCATGCGTAGCAGAGCAACAGAAAATACACGAGAGCAATGGAGGCGGAGACGAGGTAAAACCGATGACCAAACAAATGGCAATTAGACAAATGGGCCAATCAAAACAAAATAGTGATATAAATGATATAAGTCAAAGTAGTCGTGTACCTGCAACCCTAAATGTAGTTTGTAGTAGAATTAGCCGTGTCTTTCCAATCCCTTGATGTTTGTAACCTTGAATCATTTTCAGACGTATGTGGCAATGCTAGGTAACGATTTCCCTCCTGGTCCCACCAAAAGCAATCAAAGAAAGCGAAGACGTGCCCGTATGAAAGCCATAGAGAAGGACATTCTGGAAGCTGCTGAGGGATGGATTGCTTGTTAGTCATTTTCTTTCGATTTTTTCAAGTAACGGTTTCTGGGAAGTCAGATTTAAGTGTTGCAATCTTCGGTAAAGATGTAACTTTTCGGCGTGCTAGTTGAGTGTCGCGACAGATGTTCCCAGCAGGCACCACTGAGCCCCAAGTCCTCATTAGAAGAGACTAATGGGTGTTAAGAGAAGACAAGTGGTCACGTTAAGGATTAAATTCATACGCAAAAGTTGGATGATTTTAATGCTTACGGAAAAACTGAATTTCAGTTTTCTGTGATTTATGTTTTGTGTTCCATATTTTTAATTTTAAAAAGATGTTGTGAACAAAGGTCGCCATATGAATTAAAGGTTCCCAGGACTGGCATACTTCTTCTGCTTATAATACCTTAAAGCAATTGTATACAGAATATAAACTTTTTATAGAAAATTAACAATTAAAAGAAAAATAACAATTTTATACCTAAACTTGTTTGATTTATTCTCCGAGCATTAAGCAGGCCTAAACACATTATAACAAGACAAGTTTTACTTTTCACCGAAAGTGGTATAAGGTTGCCTTCATCTCACATCAAACACCTTGGATTTCCAGGCTAAACATGATCGTTAAAAGTAACGGTACTATCCACTGCGCGTCCTCTGTGCCAGTTACTGGTATGTCACTCTTGCAACAACCCTGAATCCCATAGTAGCTTGTACGTTTATTCATTCACTTAGTAGGCCTACTCCAGCCCATCTGAAATCTCTCTCTGAAACACCGGGTATCACGGACGTGAATCTTTATAATACACAGGCGCCCTAAAACACTTTTTGATCGGAAAGAATGTACAAAACGGTCCAGACATCGGTGCAGTTCTTCTGGCTGTTGTGGAAAGTCACTTCTGTGTTTATCATTCTGTGCACGTCGGCGGGTTGACGTAACCAAAAACGTTGAATTCTATCATTATGGCAAAGGTGAGAAAAAGACAGTAAACGCAGATGCAGATAATCCCTAGTTTCTTGTTGAGCACCCATCCTACAAAGTGTATAGCTGCTATCTGTAAGCAGAATGATTAATTCTATGAAAAACGACTGGATCGGATTTATTTAAAGGCATTATAGAAATAATGATAAAATTAAAAGGATAGTTCCAACAAATGGAAGAAGAAGAATAGTTAAGAAGTCTACAATCATGCAAGATTAAAGAAGCAAAGGTTATACCTATTTTCTACCTATTAGAAAACGGTAAAACTACTCAGGCGGTATCGTGAGTGGTTATTCCTATGATCAATTTGTACAAAAGCTATGATTCGATATTTGTGCATTTGTTCTGTATCTTGCTGCTTATTGTGCAACCTACCGTAACTATAACAGTGAGGAATAGCAGCACTACTGCAAACACCAGGCCGTTGCTGTTGATGTGTACCTAAAAAAGTCAAAACATGTTCAAACTCCCGTCTCATTCCCATGGTGTTTCAAAAATAAAACGTATCTAGGATAATTCTCAATTCATAAAAATGTGAAAATACTTTTCTGTCTCTTATCAAAGCAGCTGGGTTTACATCAAATATATCTGGCACTTCCCCAGTCGACCAAACACAATTACAAAACAGCAGAACTGTGTGAGATAAGGACAATTAAGAAAAGTAAATATTTTGATGTATACTTTTTCCAGGCACATGATTTCTTATTACGAAAAAACACGAGCTAAAACTAATCAATCTTTTTATGCATCTATTTAATTAGCTATTGATTTTGGAATTACTTTTAATGACTTCCTTACCATAGATCCTGCATGTATCATGGCAGTTTTGAGGAACCATGGGAACGCCAGGCCAATCAGGACATCGAATACGTTGCTGCCAATTGTGTTCGATACCGCCATGTCTCCAAGGCCTAAATGACAGATTTTGTCAGTTTATGTTAGTTCTTGAGCATAAGAAATAATCAGGTTTGAAAATAATGCAGGGCAATCTAGAGATATGTATGAAAAAGAATGCTAAATAAGTCTATTTTTGGAGCTTCTACACACAAGACGAGTTAAAGATAGTTTGTTATTTGAAAGTACATAAATTTACTGTAGTCAACAGAAAAACAACTTATTTGTGTTAGCTTCAGTTAATCATACATTAGCAGTTTATTTAAAATGCCAAATCATTTCCGTAGTTTTCACCGTCATATCATATAATAAGTAACATTCTTCAACAGTTTCCCATGAACCATT